CTACAATTAAGTATAATAATATGATTGTTATAACAATTGTTAAACAATTGTAACTTGTATTTAAGTAAAGATCAATCTCTTTTTTATATACAATGGTCTAAATCACTTACGGTGGTGGAGATAGATATGTATTAATGTTATAAGTTTTTATATTTCAATTTTGTTTTAAACTATGATGTTCTTTGTTTCATTACTTATAATAATCGTAAGTTCACTAACTGTAGCAAATCATACATGAATGTTTTATTTGCTCTATGACTCATTACGTAATGTAATTTTTTAAACTATGTGGTCTTTATCTTTTTTAGAACAATAGTATTTTATATTCCAGATTTAATGCACATAAGTGTTATATAATCGTACACATAAATAAATAAACCTACAAGAAGAAAAATAAATAAATAAATAAATCAATAAATTAATTTGTTCTCTGTACGATTTTACTGCTAATCAGCAGCAATTACATCTTGTAGATTATACAGGGTGAGTCATCTGAATCTATCACCTCCAATAACTCGTTTGTGTGGTCAGGAATCGAAAAAAGTTTCATATAAAAGTTGTAGGGTTTCGAAGGGGAACCAAAATGGCGTACCTTTCAACTTTTGATTTCGACCGAAAGTGGGTTACTTCAACTGGAAGTGGTTTTTTTTTAAATGGAAACCCCTCTTTTTGACACAGGAAAATGAAAAAACGGACAATTTTACGTTCAGATATAACCTCGGCTGTTTTAAAATTTTCAAGATGGCGAACGAAGATGGCAGACAAAAAATTTAGTCAACCGATTTGCACCAAATTAAGTTTGGTACCAAGGATTTTTGGGGTTGCTGATCACGAATCTGAAGTCACATTTGCAAAATTCAAAATAGAAGATCCAAGATAGCGGACCAAGATGGCGGACAAAATTTTTAGCCGAAATTAATAGAAATTACTACTCTTAGCACTACCCAGGAACAACGGCGTGGACGTGGTAGTTTTTTGTTCCCTTTGGGGTGCTTTGTTTACGTAAGTCTCCTTGTCTCTCACTATCGGGGTGCTTTATTTACGTGAGTCCCTTTGCCTTTCACTATCGGGGTGCTTTATTTAGTTAATTTGTAACTTCAAACAGTTAATTCGCTAAGTAGTACACTTAGCGAATTAACTGTTCGAAATTTCGTCCATTTTCTTGAATGCATAGGTCGATACCACCATGAATATAATGTTAATGATAATTGTGTTATAACCCTACCAACTCCCGTGTAAAAATCTTGGTGAAAATCGGTTGACTTTCAGACATTCATAGTTATGCGCGACTAGTTCGTATGTAGCTCTTCCGCTAGGTTGCTATGACCATCCCGGGCGATTTTCCTCCACCTTGTCGTGGTGTCCAAGCTTAGGAGCGGTGAAGCGAGGGGGCTATACTGGCGGGAAATCCTTTGATTTTCTGGTAGGGTCACCCATGCCAGGAAGGCCCTTCGCGGAGCTCTTGTACTAAGAGAGGAAATAGAGGAAGGAAAACCTTGAATAAAAACCGTGGGATCCCAGCCTCGCTTAGCACTTCTTGCCGGTGCAACTGGGATAGGGGAGTAAACCCTGACTTCAAATCCGGGGCGTCCGACCCCGTCAGCCACGGTGCAATCGGACTAGGGGAGTAAACCCTGACTACAAATCCGGGGTGTCCAGCTCCGAGAGGCGCTTTCGGGACGGCCACTGGACTAGGGGAAAAAAAACCTTGACTTCAAACCCGGGCAGGATGGGCTCGTTACCCTTGGCCGGGAACCATTTAAGAGACGGATACTCCGAAATCAAACCACCCTTAAAAATGATGGAGATGTCGACTACAGACGAGGAAGAAGTACCGGACCAGTGCAATCGGACGCGCAGGTCTCGGCGGCTCGGGAGTGCTCGCCCTGCTCCCGTACCGTCGTTATCAGACGAAGGGTTGGCCGCGCCGTGCGATGCAGGCGGTGCGGTTCAGAGTGCTACTGCAGATGATGAAGACGTGACGCGCCAGAGAAGTGCATCACCTGCTACTTTACAGGAATCACGTACGGTGACCACAGTGGGAGCCACGATTACTCAATCAATGACGAGTTTTACTTTGTCCTCGGAAGATGAGGCCACTATGGATGACCGAATAGATAAGCTGTTGAATTTGGACGACACGCCTGCTAAAGTGCCTGGCCAAGCACTCAGCCCTGGTCGTCCAACTTCTCGTAAGCAGGCGGTCTTTAAACGCCCTCTGACGTGTGTTGAGCAAGGCCCTTCGACTTCGACGGATGGGACCAAAACAAAGTCGAAAAAGTCTCGCCCTAAGAAACAAGCGGTCTCTGCGCGCCGTACTAGCAGCAGTATGGGCAGCGAACCAGAGGAATTTTCCGACGTGGAAGACTTCGCTCCACTTACCGGACCTCAGATAGTGGGCCACATCCGACGTGGTATGGACTCGTTGGAGTTTTACACTAAAAAGAGTGGCAACCTCAAAAGAGGTTATGTACGTCTGGTTAAGACCATAGCAAGGTAAAAAGAGCTGCTGAAGCTAACGGTGCGCGTTCCAGAGCGGAAGGTGTTCCAGAAGACGAGAAAACAAAGGAAATTGCGAGAGATAGAGAGTTCGAGATGGAACATAGCACTGAGATGAGGTCTAAGATTGTGTCGTATAAGAGACAGGTCGCTGAATTAGAACTCGAACTAGAATGGGCCAAAAACGAGCTCAAATTTGCACAACCTTTGCCCCAAAGGGAAAAAACGAAAAAGGGTGCAATACAGACGGTTGGAGTCCCAGTGGTGACGTCTGTTGTGGCATTACCGGCGGAAACTGTGCCGATAACCACGCGACGGCAACAACAACCAGTGCGACAGCAGCGGCAACAGCAACAGCAATATCAGCAACAGCGACAACAACAACTACAACAACGAAGTCTTGGCAAAGCCACAATATCTGGTGTTAGTTCTGAAGTTCAGGCCCATGGTGTACCAGGCGTGGAAGGGCAAATAACAGCCTTTGAACAACGAATGGAAAGAATGGAGGGCATGCTGGAGAGGGTAATTGGATTGCTTGATTCAAAGCTCTCTAAAAATGCGGCCTCCAAAACTCAGGACGCATTTGGCCTTGTAAGCCATAGACAACGACAAAGACAGGCTAACACAGCCATGATGGCTGACAGTGAGTATGACGACCAGTCTGCGGATGATTGGGCCAATGTGGTCAAACGTGGTGGGGCCCTTTCTCGGAAGCTGGGTGCTGATCGAGCGAGGCAGAGTACTCGCAGAAACCCTGCCCTTCGAGAAGAGGATGCAGAAAGACTGCAAGCGATACGACGCGAGAGAGAGACAGAGAGAGAAAGAGAGAATAGGCGAAGGCCCTCCAGAGATCAAGCGGACACGACGGGCTGATATTCAACCTCAGCCTTTGTCTCAGCTACAGTTACGTGACCAGAGACGACAACTTTGTATACGTCCTGAAGAAGTCCCTGTTATTTTTAGACCGGGACGACGACGTAGACGCCGCAGGCCAGCAGCGGTTGCTATAAGACGCGTTCAGGACGATGGTGCCTCTTACGCAGAAATAATGAGGACCGCCAAAAAGAAAGTGAAGTTGTAGGACCTTGGTATCACGGACACCAGAGTCCGCAGAGACGTAGAAGGGGGAATCTTAATTGAAATCCCCGGTGTGGATGGCGTTGAAAAAGCCGAACGCCTGATGAAGGTACTATCCCCTTGTTACAGGGGAAAGCAAATGTCTCCCGACCCGTTCAGCAGGGAGACCTTTGTATCTCGGGCCTCGATGCCTGTACCGAACCAGAGGAAGTAAAAGAGGCATTAGCCTCAGAGGAGTTTGGGTCGTGTACGGTTGCGGATATCCGAACGGGACCCTTACGAGAAGGACGAGGACGTACTGGCGTCATGTGGGTAAAGTGTCCCTTTACTGTGGCCGAGAAGACAGCAGCAGCAGGAANGATCCGAGTTGGTTGGACTACGGCACGTGTCACACTACTCCCGGGCAGACGGCTCCAGTGTTATAAATGCATGAAGTTCGGACATGTCCGGATGGTATGTTTAAACGAGGAAGACCTTAGTCAGGCGTGTTATAGGTGCGATGGCACCAAACATGTGGCGCGGGATTGTGTGGGGCCAGCCCACTGCATTCCGTGCGCGTCGCGACGTTTTCCAGCAGGCCATAGAGCAGGTGGAGTAGCTTGTAAAGCTAAAATGTTAGGAGGCTACGGTTTACGTGGTCGTAGGATCCCTGTTGAGAACAATGCTGTGCGGAGGACAGCAGCAAGCGGCCAAGATGTTGGCTGCACGCCCATGGAGACCTAAAAATGGCGAAAGTTCTCCAGATAAACATGAACCGGAGTAGTCCGGCACAAGACCTGGCCATTCAGGCCATGCGTGAAAGAGAAGTTGCGTTGATGGCAGTTTCTGAGCCATGGCGCATACCGGATTTGCCGCTTTGGGCGGCAGATCTGGATAGAGTAGCGGCGGTCACTTGGCTACCCCGTTGTGGGAGTAGACAAGTACGTGAGATTATTGAACGCGGACATGGCTTTGTAGCGGTACGATGGGGCAATGTAGCAGTATTTAGCTGTTATTTTTTCCTCAGTACTCTCGTGGTAGACTTTGAGGCCTCTTTGGGGACTCTGGGCGACAGCATCCGGCGCGCGGGGAGTGATCCGGTGCTGGTGCTCGGTGATTTCAATGCTGGATCAGCTACTTGGGGCTCCTCCCGTCCTAACCGTAGGGGTCAATTGGTGGAGCAATGGGCTGCTCTGCTTGGACTTCAAATCCTGAACAGGGGCAGGACGGCCACTTGTGTTTGTCCACAGGGCAGTTCCATTGTGGATCTCACATGAGGGTCCAAGATGATGACTCCGCTAGTGGCGGCATGGCGGGTGCTAGGGATGGAGTCCTTATCGGATCATTCTTATGTATCCTTCATAGTTAATGAGGATAGGGCTGGTGTGCCCGCTGTTCGATGCCCTCCATTTAAACGGTGGAATAATAAAACATAGAACATCGACATGTTTGAAGCGGCAGTTATGGGAGCAATTTGGGGTGACCCAATTGCTCCTGAAACTCAGCCAGACGAAGAGGCGGTTTGGCTGAATCAAGCTATCACGGACGCCTGTGACATTTCTATGTCTAGGGTCCGAAAAGTGGCGGCACGTAAGTCGACTTATTGGTGGTCACCCGAGATCGCACGACTACGTTCGGAGTGTTTGGCTCGCAGGAGGCGATACACCCGAGCCAGAACACGTAGAAATGTCGAACCGGAGGCACTAGAGGTTCTACATGTCTCCTTGCGCAAAATGCAACAAACGCTTAGAAGTGCTATAATAACAGCAAAAAAGGTGGCCTGGAAGGAATTAATTTCCACGGTAGATGATGATCCGTGGGGCACACCTTATCGGGTTGTGATGTCTTGCTTGCGGGCAGCTGGACCACCCGCTACGGAGACAATGAACGTCCCTGAGGTATTGGACGTTATTAATAGCCTCTTCCCTGTACGCAAAGTTAATTGTGCAGAAACACGGAACGAGGATTTGCTGACACCTGACCTTGAGGTCAATGTATCGGAGCTTAATGGGGCTGTCCGACGAATGACTAGGAAGCGTACTGCTCCAGGCATGGACGGTATCGCTGGTCCTGTATGGAATTGTGTTGCGGCAATAGCACCGAATATCATCCTAAGGTGTTTCAATAATTGCCTGTATCGCGGCATATTTCCGGTAACTTAGAAGCGTGCACGTTTGGTGCTGATTCCCAAACCGAGTCGAGCAAGTTACAGGCCGTTGTGCTTGTTAGACAAAATTGACAAGTTGTTTGAGAGGGTTCTTGCTGGTCGATTAGAAGACCATATTATTCAACGTGGTAGACTCTCATTTTGCCAATTTGGGTTTCGAGCTGGACGGTCTACGTGCGATGCGATTCAGTTGTTTAGGACAACGATAACCGATTACACGGACGCGGGTAACTCATGCGTGGCGGTGGCATTGGATGTTAGGAATGCATTTAATACTCTGTCATGGGATAGTATCTAACGAGCGATGCGAGATTGGGAATTTCCCACATATCTACGGGCGGCAATACAATTATATCTGAGTAACAGATGGATTGTTTTTCCGTGTGTTGATGGAAGACTTCGATCTCGGGAGGTATTATGCGGAGTTCCGCAAGGCTCAATATTAGGCCCACTGCTGTGGAACCTAGGATTTGATCGCGTCCTGCGGAGGAGCCTCTCTTCGGAGTGCTCCCTCGTTTGCTACGCTGATGATACTCTGGTTCTGGCTGGTGGGGATTCGGACCGAGAGGCAGCAAATCGAGCCTCTATGGCTGTAGCTGCGGTTGCGTGACGCATGCGGACTTTAGGCCTGGATTTATCTCCAGACAAAACGGAGGTAGTAGCTTTTCGACCTAGAGGCCAACGTGGTAACCCGGTTTCCGTTTTAGTAAACCGTGTTACGGTCCGGTCCCGTCCTTGCATGCGATATTTGGGATTATGGATCGACGAGAGGTGGACGTTCGCCGAACATTTCAATCGCGTAGCGGAAAAAGCCGCCCGAATGGTTAATCCCTTAGCTGGGTTGATGCCCAATTTAAGGAGCCCTCACACCCGAGTTAGGCGACTGTATTCGGCAGTCGTTCACTCGGTAATGATGTACGGCGCATCAATTTGGCACCGGGAGATACAAATGGGTAGGGTATCCGCCCCTTTTGTTGAGATACAACGCCTTGTGGCAACAAGGGTCATCAGTGCGTATCGAACGATTTTGTGCGAGGCTGCCCGCGTTCTTGCCTTATGCTGCCTGTCGATATTATGTCAATGCGCCAGGCCAGGATGTATGAACTTTTGCATCCCGACTTTAGACGGGATGGAAATATTGAAGTCCCTGCAGATCCGTCTGCACTTTTAGCGCAAATTGAATTAGAAGTAATTCGAATATGGCGGAAGCGCCTACAGAGACCCTCTCTTTACGGCCGTCGAGTTCGAGAGGCCTTTGGCCCTGTTCTTGAGAGATGGTTAAGGTGCAGTAAAGCAACTTTGACCTTCCGGGCCACTCAAGTTGTTTCGGGCCATGGTGTATTCAACGCCTACTTACACCGTATAGGTAAGGCACCCACCCCGTTCTGTGTACATTGCGGAGAGGTGGCTATAGATACAGCCCAGCATACGCTGGCCGAATGCCCCGTGTGGTTGCGAGAGCGAATCCGACTTATAGCGGAGGTAGGCCCGGATCTCTCCCTCTCATCTGTAGTTGAGCAGGTGATAGAGAGGAAAGAGAGTTGGCGAGCATTCCTTGTCTTTTGCAAGGCAGTAATGTCCGCCAAAGAGGAAGCAGAGAGGATACGGCAGGGCCAACAACCTCCTGTGTAGCATGGTTTTCTTGGACAATCAAGATTTTAATTATTCTTGCATAGGTCCAAACGCATTTTTTATTTATTTATTTATTAT